CAGAGATATTAAAGAGGACCTGAAACAATCTGTCATATTAGGGTTTAAGTTGGAGTCATTTTGGTAGGAAAGGTAACCCTAGGAAATAGGAAGGTTGTAGGCTATCCAGGTGACAGACACTTGGAGCTATATGGAACATATAGTAGTGATTTCCTTACATGTTTCTTGAACTTTAACTTGGAGGCAACATAGTATAACGCGTCAAAACAATGACTGTGGGGCCACACTGCTAGATATGAATTGTGTTCTAAATCATATTTACTTACTCCATTTTCTCAATTATGAAAACAAGATAATCATAGTAGTACTTTAAAGTTGTGCTGAGGTTTAAATGGGTTAGTACATACGAAATGACTTGAAAGACCTGGCATGTGGTAAGTGCTCAAAAGTGCTATTTTGGAAATTCTTGACTGATTCTTTTCTATCTTGTGTAGTTTATTTCAGGAACAAACAGGAATTATCTTATCTAAAATGAAACAATGTAATCCAGCAAAAAGATAGTTTTTAATGAGCCCAGAGTAACATTTAGGATTTAGACATGGTTTGGAATCTATGATGAATCAGAGATAACAGTGAGCTTGTCAACACAACCTGGCTAAACAAATGTTTTAATTTCCAATACTATCTCTTTTAACTAGGAAAAAAATTGCTGGACTAATGAGTGTCCTAGTATTTTGACTGATAACCAAAGCTACCAAAAGCAATCCAATTTCCGACAGGCTAAGCTAAGGGCACTATCAGAAAGGCTAAGTCCAAGTGAGAACTTAGATGCTGAGATTCACATCTTGCTCAGATGATGCCTGGAGTTCCAACTTGACCTTCTCACAACTTAGTCCAGAAGGCAAATCCACACAAAATGAAAGAGGTGGCCCAGCACAGAATATCCTGGCTGACCAGGGCTCACTAATGTCACAGTCACCCACACCCTCACTCATCCTGAGGGAGAAAGCCCAAACTGGAAGAAGCATTCTACTTCACCTTGAACCACAGTGAGGACATTGAATACTTGAGTAATTGGTGCCACTTCAGTCATTTCCTTTTTATCACAAATATCCAATTCAAATAAGTAAGTCTCATTTTTTTTAAGTTCCCTGTTTAACAGTACGAATTACGTAAAAATCTGGTATAGCATAAGAATTTAGGTAGGATGGTTCTTTACTACACAATTGACTCAAGAAGTCATTCTACAACGTGCTGAATGTGCTAAGTCACTTCAGTCATGTCCGACCCCATGGACTGTAGCCTGCCAGGCTCCTCTGTCCATGAGATTTTCCAGGCAAGAATACAATACTGGAGTGGGTTGCCATGCTCTTCTCCAGAGGATCTTTCCCACCCAGGAATCGAACCCGCGTCTCTTACATCTCCTGCACTGGCAGCTGGGTTCTTCACTAGCACCACCTGGGAAGTCCCATCCTACAGCAAGCAGTCTTAAAATTTCCAGACAATCCAAGTTAAAGAAAAGAGAGAAAAAGCAATGCTAAATTAGGAACAAAGCTGTAAAAGATTACACTGTCCATAGTTTAAGAGGATGGGTACAGACATTCACATAGACATTACAGTACAAACCTAACGATGCTATTCTTTTTCTTAGAAGAATAAAAGTTCCCTTGTGCCGAGAAGATAAGTCCAAGCTTCTTGGCAGAATATGCAAAGGCTTTCATGTTAAGAATGCACTATTAGCAGGGAGAGGTGGAGCCCTGAGAAAGCTTTCCTAGAAAAAGCTACCTCTGAGCTAGTCAAGGAGAGAAGGGGAGGAGATTTTAGGCAGTGAATAGCACTGAGTAAAGCCCAGATGAGAGACGCCTCTGGTATGTATAGACAAACACAAGCAGCTGGTATGATGGAAACTTAAAGCATGGAGGATAATATAGCAAGCTATTGAAATTTTACCAACTGAAATTATAGTCAACGGTCCCTATCTGCAGGTTCCACATCCACAGATTCAAACAACCATGGGTAGAAAACACTTGGAAAAAATGTTCCAGAAAGTTTCAAAAAGTCAAACTTGAAACTGCTCACAATGGGCAACTATTTACATATCATTTACATTGTATTTACAACTATTACACAGCATTTGCACTGTATTAGGTATTATCAATAACCTACAGATGACTTAAGATACACGTGAAAATGAGTGTAGGTTATATGCAAACACTGTGCTGTTTTAATATAAGGGACTTGATCATCTGTGGATTTTGGCATCCACGGGAGAGGGGGATGGGGTCCCGGAACCGATCCCCAGTGGATATGGAGGGATGACTATATCTAGAACTCTAGGGTGTACTCAGCAGTGGCCTATTACAAATCTACTTCCAAACTTTCATTTTAAAATCGAGATAATTTTAACTATGCAAATATATATATGTGTGTGTGTGTGTTTGTGTATATTTGTTTTAAAAAACTCTACAAATATTTTTTATTGCAGGATAAAAATTCCTTTTTGATTACTTTAACAACCCCACTCCCACAAACAACTACTCTGGAATGTATATTCTTTCAGAACTTTTACTTTACTTCACATTCATAAATATGTACCCACAAAAATATATACTATTGCTTTATGTTCAATGGTTTTCATGTACCTAATCACATACACTCATCTCCAAAGTCCAGTAATACTGTATATCTTCCTGGAGTTTATTTTCAGACAGGAGTTTATTTTCAGCTTATCTGATTCCTCTTGTGAAACTGAACCAGATTGATAATGGAGGAATCCTCAGTTTTGTATTCCAAATGCAACCGGAGAAAATAAAATCATGGTAAATACTTGTTTAAAAATGTGCAAATCTTTTCTGAAATTATAATTTTATTTTTACCAAATAGCACTAGTAAAAGCTGTATTTCCATTTTCCATTGAGTTCAGAAGCATATCAGTACAGCATCTTGTTATCTGCTCAATCTACATAACTTATTTGAATCCAAATATCTGAACGTCCCTAAATAAGTTAGCAACATTTTTTTTTTGATGAAATGATTATTAATGTTGGCAAGAAAAAACAGATTCAGAAAGTTGAGCCAATTCAAAACAATTCTTTATCTAGGAAAAGTGATCAGTAACTCCTTTCATCAAGTTTTCAACTGCATTGAAACAAAAGTTTAAAATCTCCATAACTGACTTTCAGTTCAGTTCAGTTGAGTCGCTCAGTCGTGTCCGACTCTGCGACCCCATGAATCACAGCACACCAGGTCTCCCTGTCCATCACCGACTCCCGGAGTTTACTCAAACTCATGCCCATCAAGTCGGTGATGCCATCCAGCCATCTCATCCTCTGTCGTCCCCTTCTCCTCCTGCCCCCAATCCCTCCCAGCATCAGGGTCTTTTCCAATCAGTCAACTCTTAGCATGAGATGGCCAAAGTATTGGAGTTTCAGCTTCAGCATCAGTCCATCCAATGAACACCCAAGGACTGAAGTCCTTTAGGATGGATTGGTTGGATCTTCTTGCAGAGGTTTCTTTTAAATATAAGTTGGTAGTGATTAAGAATATAATTATTAAAAGTATCCTGTTTGCAATCTCAGTTGCTTCCTTTGTAACATCAAACAAGTGAATGTGACTCAGGTTATAGACCCAAGTCTTCTAATTTATGATTTAATCAGGGATAGATATGTTAAACTTCTGTCTTGATTTAAATATACTTTGAAATCACATTTTGATTATACTGCATATATTCCTTCTATGGTAAAACAACTGACTTAAGTTCTGAGCATACCTCTCAATTTTCTTACTTGCAAATAGGCCCCAATGGTTCACATATACTAATTAATTAGTCTAATTAGATTGGGGGATACGTGTGTTTGTTTACCTGTGTGCTTGGTGGGGGACAGTGAATCTCAAGAAGGTTGTACCTCAGGCAGGGACTTTGGTCAAGGGGTTGCCTGTCATGTCCCTGATCTTGTAGAGGCAAACTAAGGAGATCACTAGAGACAACATAATTTGATCAGCACTGTCCCACAGAAATATAAACGCAGGCTACAAATGAGAGCCACAGATATAATTTTAAATTTTCTAGTAACTACTTTTAAAAAGAAAAATAACGCTAGTAATTTTATCTAATATATCCAAAATATTATCCTTTCAATGTGATCAAATTTTTTAAATTATTGATATTTTGTATTCTTTTGTTCACATCAAGTCTTCAAAACCCAGTGTGTAACTTCATACTTACAGCACTTCTCAGTTGGATCAGTCATACTTCAAGTGCTCAAAAAGCCATATTTGGCCAGTGGCTACCATACTGGACAGCACAGATACCGAGGGGAAACCAGGGCTTTGGAATTAACATGCACCTAAGGTTTGAATTCTAGTTCAATAACTTACTAAGCTGTGTGACCACAAACTAGTTATATAAACTCCCTGAGTCCTGTAGTTCTTATCAGTAAATCAGAAATAATACCAGATACCTTGCAAATTTTCTTAGAACTGTAGATAATATGCTCACACATAATATAACTCAGTAAAGTCCTCCTTTTCCTCATTATTATATTAATTGAAGAAGAAAAGGTAACACTGTATGAAAACTCAAATTTAAGGTTTAAAAATTGTGAAGGAGAAAAATAGAAACAAGAACTTGAAGCAAGATTATCAAAATCTTTTTCTAACTTAAGTTCGGTCATCAACCCACTATTATCTATACAAAATAAAAACAAAAACCATATTTTCCAAAACTGTGAATAATACCAAAATAAAATATTTTTAAAACTAGAGATATGATAGTGTTTGCCTTTTTTTCTTAAAGCAAATTTGCTTTCTTGATTATTGTTGCTGAGGTTAATATTAGTTTCTATTCCTCGGGGTGGGGGGGTGGAAATGGCTAGAAAGTTGAGTAGGTAGTTATTTGCACAGAAATGGCATTTTGGGATACTGCTTCCAATAATCTACGAAGACTACATTATGCATTTGGATAACTGAACATTCACTATTTTCAAATAACTGTTACATTATATTTTTCATTCACTTATATAGGACATGAAAATACAATACAGAAAATATATGTAACATACCTCTGATAAAAATGTTTGGGCCGATTTCTGAGCTCCTACATGGAGCAGATACTCATATACGTAGAGAGCTAACCTGGGAAAAGAATAAAATATTTATTGAGAAGAGGTATATTTAAATTCATTCTTTAAACAATGTATACACCTTTTCACTACAAAAGTATTTTTCACACTAACAGTGACAGAAAATCAACTCTTCCCACATCTTTTCAATGGGAGTTTATACATGTATGTTCAGAAAGAACTTTAATTAAAATAGGACACACAAGAATAAGACACACTGTATCTTTTGGCAAGAAACACCTAAATAAGGATTTTTTTGTCTTGTATCATCTAATTTATCATATTCTAAATTCTCTTTTGTACCTAATATGAATTATTAATTTAAAACCAAACATTAATAATTCCCATAACCTATGTTAAGGTATAATTATTAGTATAATAAATAATTGGACTTTTACAACAACACTATATCCTTCCATCTTTTTAGTGAATGTTGTTATAAACTCCAGCTGTTTACACACCCATATGCCAAAATGGACATTGAACATCCATTGTAATGTTTATTCGGGACTTTCTCCTTATTCTTTGGATGTTATTGTTAAACCAACAATATTTTAGTTTATAAGAAACTCAAATTAACTGCAAATCACAGTGTTAAGTAAATTTTAAAGATACTAGATTATATTAGGCATTTGGGGACTTACAATTTAAAGGTTAACACAAAAGTACATATAAATTCATCACTCAAATATAGAATATTAAGTATGCACTATCCACTTATAGTATTCTCATTAACTAGTGGATTCAGAATTTTAAGCTAGACCATGTGGCTCAATTTTAGTTAAGCTGTTAACAAAATATTATTCATAAACCCAAATTAGTCTGAGGCAGTATTTTTAATGATATCTTGGACCAATGCCCAGATAGCTCACAACACTTCAGTTTCTGCGACACTGTATTTACCAATATTGAGCCAGGTTTACAGTAAACAAAACAATGCAACAATAACCACAATTCTGTACAGTTACACCATTTATCTTGCCAAGTGAATTTATGATTGTTAAAGACTGATGGCATTTGCAAAAATGAGTATTTTCCTCATGTTTATGAAAACATAACATGTACTTGTTATGAAAAGGGAAAGCCTGTATATAACCATTGCTCTGTCCATTTAATTATTTCTCCATTCCAAAACTGTCAAACACTTAAGATGAGAGTCATTCTGTGGTTACCAAGCACCATGAATAGATACATGTTAAAGTTACTCAGAGGTGAAAAGTATGTTGTTGACAGTGAGTATAGAAACATAATTTAGAAACATCTATATGGCTCAGAGGTTAAAGCATCTGCCTCCAATGCGGGAGACCCGGGTTCGATCCCTGGGTTGGGAAGATGCCCTGGAGAAGGAAATGGTAACCCACTCCAGTATTCTTGCCTGGAGAATCCCATGGACAGAGGAGCCTGGTAGGCTACAGTCCACGGGGTCGCAAAGAATCAGACATGACTGAGCGACTTCACTTTCACATTCTCTTCAAGTTGAACGCCATTTCCTAGGTCGGTGCTTCTCAACTCGTCTTCTGCCCTAACACCGCTGAGGCACAGTCACATCCCTGTGTGATGCTCCGTGGGGAAGGTTCATACCAACATACAGCATACGGGATATGGGAACTGAAGTGTTCCTGTAGTTTCAAACAAACAAACCCCACTGGTGATTCTTATCACACATTCTTCACACACACACTCCACGTACCCTGCCTTCTACTAACTGCTTCCAACCCTATCACATGATGCCCTGACCATGACGGGAGGTTTCATCTAGAAAGAGAGAATATCTGTGAATTTTTCCTGGAGAGACTAAAGCCTCAATTTGCCTGCCAGTGGCATCATGGCCCTCCTGCTATTGCCCTAGAGCCTCATGTTATTCCTGTGGGTTGTAAAATTGTGGGCCTAGAGCCAAACCAGGGGTGAAGGCTAGAAAAGAAAGCCAGGTCCAAGTCAAGGGCCCAAAGGTAAGGATGTTCCAGCAAGCTTGGAGAAGCTAAAGGTTGAGAGGCACTGAGAGAAGCAGGTCCTTGGCAGTGGGTCCAGGGGTGGGGATGAGGTAAGAGAGGTGACCGCAGACAGTCAAGGCCAGGGCTCGACTTAGCTGTGTCCTTGGAATGCAAACCATTCCTTAAAGTTGAGCAAGCCACTTCCTTGGAATCTCTTCTTCATAATATTAAAGAAGATAATATGTTTCTTATATGTTTCCCCCAATTAATTAGGTAACAAAAAGTGTATCTCTTTATAAGTAGAATTTAAAGCAACAATCTCCCCTCTTTCAATGAGTCCAGGACAGTGATTCTAAAAGATGTATTGGTGAGGGCAGAGAATCAATGAGAGGAAGGGGTTTCAAACTATAGAACTAAAGATTCTGAAGCATCTTCCTAGGCGTGTGCCTGTCCTCCTATCCTTCAAATCTAACCTGTAGCAGCACATGATATTTTTACCAACAGGGTGATAAAACAGGACAGGGCTGAGAAAATCTACCTACAATGCCGCCTAATGTATCCTAACATTCTATCACCTCCCTGGAACAAAATGAATGCTTCCCAGGCAGTCAGGACCTGTGCTCTGGAAATAATGGTAGGGAAGCATCACACAGGTGAACAATTAATCAACTCGACTGCCATGTGGCCGTGAAACACATCACTAGCAAACCTCCGAATTTTAACTACCATCTCTGTGTATGCTTGCTAAGTCACTTCCGTAATGGTGTCCAACTCTGCAACCCCATGGACAGCAGCCCACCAGGCTCCTCCGTTCATGGGGACTGTCCAGGCAGGAATCCTGGAGTGGGTTGCCATGCCCTCCTCCAGGGGATCTTCCCGACCCAGGGGTCAAACCCGCATATCTCACACCTCCTGCACCAGCAGGTGTGTTCTTTACCACTAGCGCCACCTGGGAAGCCCGCCTCTGTGCATAGGATTTTCCAAACCCATCTCTTTAGTCCTATCCTCTCTACCCAGCTACAAACCAGCTTCTCCAAATCAGTTTGAAATTTCTAGCAAGACAGCTCTCTCTTAACTTGGCCGTGTCCAGCGTTAAATTCACCTTCTTCGTCTGTTAACAGTACCCGTGCTCACTTTCAAGGAAACATAATTTCTGAGTCTCAGTTTCCTCATTTGCAAAATGGGAAGGATACTTTCTTTGCAGTGCTGTTGGAAGGACTGGAGAGCACAGCAAATAGTAGCAATGACTGCGACAGTCTCAGCTAATTCTGTCAGATATTACATCGCCAAGCTAAGTGCGCCACAGCTGACTCTGTCACATACTATATCACCAAGTCACCAACGCCACAGCCGCCCCCACACTCGCCATTCCTTTCCACCCCCCTTGATCCTGAAGTGCTGCCAAGAGCCACAGTGACAGAAGTGTTTCTTTTACCTTTAGCTGCAGATACTGTGGGTTCCCATTAGCTCCCTACAGAGGCATTGGGGTCACCGGAAATAAGAACCTTCAGAAGCTTCTGAGGGAAAAGCCCTGTAATAAATTAATTTTGTATGAAGACAAATGTTTCTAGGGGAGCAGGCAGTGACACCTGTCCATCCGTGCATGTGAATCACAGCTTGGTCCCTTACCCAGTAACATGAGATCACCAAACACTTTATTCAGATTCAGTTTCTACTGAACAGTGAAAATCTAAAGGTAAATACTGAATGTACAAATGTTTTAAATGTGTACACTGTCATATTAACATGATCCTTTTCCTTTTTAGGATCTTTAAGAAGTTCATCTGCTTTTGAAAAAGCACAGAGTGACTATTTAATCTAGTGGCTCATGAAATAAAAAAGTGAAAGTTGTTAGTCACTCGGTTGTGTCTGACCCTTTGTGACCCCATGGACTGTAGCCCATGAGGCTCCTCTGTCCATGGGATTCTCCAGGCAAGAATACTGGAGTGGGTTGTCATTCCCTCCTCCAGGGGATCTTCCCAAACCAGGGCTCAAACCCAAGTCTCCCACTTTGCAGCCAGATTCTTTACTGTCTAAGCCACCAGGAAAGCCCCAGTGGCTTATAATGTAATCCAATTACATAGAAGAAAAAAAAAATTAGTAATCATGCAGCTAGAGTTTGGATCCAGAAAGCAGCCCCACTTTTCTTTTTAAACACTGATTAACAAAATAGTATATCAAAAGTTCACGGATCATATTATCTTCATTTTGTTCTAAATTTCAAATAGATATCAATGACTGAGTTAACAAAATCATTTGACCAGCAACTCTAGAGAAAGACCCAAATCTGAAATAGCTCAAGACCTGCTTTACTCCCTGGTTACTGAAGGCACCACACTCTAAAATTAAGAGCAAAGACAGAGGTTACAAAAGGAGTAACACTGGAAACAGCTAAAGCCTGAGCCCACTTGGCACTGCCCTCAAAACACCACTTATGTGTCAGCCACGAATGTGATGCACATTCAGTTCACCGTCTGTAAGTTACACATACACACTCGTGGTGCCATAGGAGGCAGAACAGAAAAGGCACTGACGAAACTTCACAATTCAAATCCTATCAATCCCCAGTTCTGATGGAGTGAAATCTATTTCAACTAGGCTTCATGGATTCAAAATCTCTTGGGGTGAGATTTTTTTAATTTTTTAAACTGTTTACAAAAGGAAAGGGGGTAATTCCAATCACATTTTATTTGGTATGTAATTCTAACAAACGTAATTTTTTTATGAGTCACAAAATATATAATTAGAAGGGAATTAAAGATATATAAAAATGAAAAAAAAATACAAAAAGATGTTAAAACTCTGATGAGCCCTCAAAAAGAACCAAATAAAACCAAAAAGCAATAATGGACTGAAAAAAGTAGATATATGACCCATAGAACAACAAAAAGCTAATGTGCTTAATATATTCTGCTCATATACTATGATCTGCCAGAACATGAAAATCTTAATTTTTAAATAATGAGCAAGGATGGACGTTAAAGGCCAAGTAAGAAGAATGGCTACCTATGGCCAGTAAATAATCCTAAGGAAAAATATTCAACCTTCCAGCCACAAACCATGTTTTAAAATTTCCCCAATG